TCTTTGTCCCATCATATTTTCACACTTGGCAGTATGTAAATTAATATGAATTATAGGTATTAACTGGTTGTTCTCATTTTAAGATGCCAGTTTTGTTAGTGGGAACAGTATGTTTGTTCCATATACATTTTTACACATTTGCTATTTTTAATTTACAGATACTTTTTAAATTACTGAATTTTGAAGTTTCTTTTTATTACCTTAGTGATGTATTACCATTACTGAAGCTTTATTTTATAGTTTATATATTTTCTGTGTTTTTGCTTTTATTAATCAGGTTTTTTGTAGATGTTGATGGCTTTAGAAGAAAAGGAACAGTGCTTGCATAATAAAAGTATTTTTTAATTATGTGTTCATGTATGCCAATTGAATATACTATTTAGGAAATATTACAATGGACCTTTTGAATGCTTAACCCTTTTCAGCACATTGGATACCATATGTGCACTATCTGCTTTTAACATTCAGTATTGCTGTTGTTTGCTCATAAAGTGTATTTATGGGTTTTGTATAATTCTCAGAATAAATTACACTTTCTTAAAAATTATTGACCAATTTATCTCTGCAGTGGTGAAGTATTGTTTTCATTGAGGTAAGAATTATCTCTTTCATACTTTAAGGGGATATTTACTTCTTTGTGTTTAAAAATTAGATTTATGGTGGATAATTTGTCTGGGAACTTGAATATTTCTTTACTAAGCTCTGCCAGCTGTTTTGCTTTCATACAAGACACTATATAACTATAAATCTTGTTGCGAAGGCCCTAGGTATTGGATCGTTCTGTTTTACGGAATTTTTAGACGTTTTAAAAACTATTGATTTTGGACAGGTGCAATTATGAATTGATGCACTAATGCTAGATTTGTTTTTGTTTTTTTGTTGCCAGATTGCTAGTCAGGTTAGTAAGTTTAGATGTGGATCTCCTAATCACTCCTTGTAATTGGATGTTGTGTATTTGTCACATATGTAGTGTGGCTTCATTTAACTGTTTTATACATCTCTTCCTTAGGTTTAATTGTGCTTCAATTTTCAGACTGAGAGGAAGAATCTATGTAATGACCTATTTTAATTATGGCACTTCAAGTACTTTAGACATGCATGAAAGCATTTCCCAAAATATTAATCCCATCTTCTCATTTTTTGAAAGCTGTGTGAGATAGGCATGGAGTTAGGTATGCATATCATACTTCATAATATAATGATCTGACTACCAATGTAGCTTTAATTTGCCTTATCAATATCATATAGTTTACATGTAGTTTTAAAATTACTACATAATAATTACAATCTTTTGTATGTTTTGTATGTTTACTGGAAAATCTGTACCATGTTAAAGTATAGTTTTAGATTGTAAATATCTATTTTATGCTCTCAGAAAAAACTTGTTTAAAACGAATTTTATTTCCTTAAATAAATAATAAATTGCATTTATTACATTCTCCGAGTTTAATTATAGTTTTCACCTGATAACAGTTGTGCATATTGCAGTGTCTGAAATATTTTCCCATATTTGTTGATTGGTAACTAAAAATTGTTTTTCTTATTCTTTGATCTAACAGACATCATTATATTTAATTTTACTCTTTGTCTTGACTCGGGACTTTTTTATGGTAAAATTTTTTCTATTACACTTGACAGGATTGGTTCTAGTTCTTTATCTGCAGGGTGACAGTTAAAAATTGACATACAAAATATAAATTATTCATATGATGTAAAGAGTCATAAATTAACATATGTATTTATTACTACATTAGAGAACCTTGTTTTCTAACTAATGTGGCAAAACAAAACTTTGTCATGTCATCATTAACATTTATGTTTAAATTTTATCACATGAATGACTATAATATTCATCTTATCTAGTCTGTATGGGGAACTATCCCAGTGCACACCCACCTGACTTGTTGTGGGACGGTGCTTAGTATTTCAGTATTCTGTGCTGCTTCATCCAAACATACTTCTCTGTGAAGAATTTGATCAACAGCAGAGCAAACCAGAAACCAGATATTAATTTTACTTGCAACTCCAGATAAGATGAATATAACATACCTGTTTCAAGCCTTGCAGACTTCCTCATTTATGTGTAATATAATACCAGTAAATGTATTCAGATTTGATTTTTTGTAGAAGGAATGATTATTTTTTTCCCTGATTTACAGATAAGTCTAGGAAAGATTTTTTTATTCCCTGTCTGTAACCAAGCACATTATCCTTTTTATAAAAATGGATATTTCTGCCACCTAGTCCTAAATTGCCGTTTCCAATACCAGATATGCAGGGAATGTTTGCTTCATTAGAAAACTAGGTCAGAGGGTGTGTTGTCATTGAAGGATTGTGAACCTCAAAATTATGTTATGGCAGGAGTGACCATTGTTCAGCTAATGTAATGCATTTCTTGCACCTTTGTTAAGAACTCGGGTCCCTGAGTTTAGAACAAGGTCATTGACATATGTATAACTGCAGAGAATACAACTGGAAAATATGTTTATTAAAAATTAAGGGTACACTTTTCCACCGTTGTATATTTTGCTTTTAAGGAGGTAGTTATAAATTGTTTAATATCAGGCACAGTTATACCATTCTTTCCATGTAGCTTCTCATTGTTAATTGAAAATACTTCCATTTAAAAATGCATAATTTTGCTTGTTTAACATTGTGCTTTTTTTACTTTTGTCTGCTTTCACTATATTTGTTAAACAACAAATATTTTACAGACACTTTTTGATTGAAGCGTCATATAAATCAGTCTTATTTCCACTGCAAAAGTTTTGTTTAGACTTTTTCATCATCTGTATTTCAATAAAATTATGTTTTGGAAGCTGGATCTTCCTCCATCTCCAGGTAAAAGGGGAAGGACAAAAATCTTAGCTGTTTGTTCCCCTGGTTGAGCTAGCCTCAGATCTGGACAGGTCAACACAACAGTTATTGTTGTTTTTTAGTATTGAGGGAGAATGTAGGATCATAATATCTTAATTTTTTGTTCCAGGCTGTGGAAGTAAATAGTCGTCGTTTGTTTAACGAGTCCAATATCGGTGGTCATGATTATCTACGCAATATGGTACACCTTCCATTCTATCTGCAAAACTCCGGTTTGCGAAAAGTGAAAGTTGCGCAACAGACGGCTCAGCATCACAGGAAAAGCAATGCTACAGCAACTGCATCCTCCTGGAATGAAAATGAAGAAAGTGTCAACTTAGCTGCTACAAGTGCTTTCTCTACGGTATGGTGAAACTGCCTAATGAACTTCACAACAATGCACATTCCCTTCAGCATAGTGTTTCAGTGATCCATTATATTTTATGCTTATATAATTCTTGAACTTGAAACATTCATCACACATGACTGCTGTATTGAATGCTCTGCTCATATACAAACCATTTTGAAATCTCTGCTTTGTGTCATCATTTGAGAGAATTCTTTTTTTCTTTTCTTTTTAACATATTCAGGAACAGTAAATGATTTTTAAATTATCACGATTTATAGTTGTAAAAACTGAGTTTAGAATGTTAATTTACTGCATTGTATCAGCTTTTCGTGGCATATGTTATTTTGTCAGACTTGGACAGCAAAAGGCATTATTTTTTATTTATGCACTGGCCTCCCTTTATGTCCCCACGGTGGTTGAATGCTTCTCCATATCCTTATGTGTTTAATAAATCAATAAATTCCATAATGTTTATTCCTTCATTTACCTATATTTGCAGGTGTCAGGTCGGAGATTGTCTTCAGAATCAGGTCTAAGTAGTTCTGAGAAACTGAAGCCAGCATCTAGGAAAGGTTCTCGCAAGTTGAAACTGAGTGAGAGTATTGCTAGCAGCTTGGGTAGTAATTTAAACCGTGTGGGTGGAGCCCATGACCTCACCAAAATGCTCTTGACAGATGATTACTTCAGTGATGTGAATCCGCGTAGCATGAGAAGACTGATGAATGTTGTGTATATAACAGGTACTTATTACGTTACTTCTTTGCTTTTAGACTTGGACTTAGGTTGACATAGCAAAATCATTGTTTTTGTATGGAAGTCTTTGAAAATCTTAATATTGTAATTGTAAATTAAAATTTTTTTAAACTTAACCATCTTAGAGACAGTCGGATGTTATAAGTCATAGAAATTCTAACACTAACTAGTAAACAATCTGAAATTGCTCACATGAAGTATTGTTTCAGCACAACTTTGTGACTCTCAAATGGAGTTAATCAAAGGCTTTCTGTGACTTATACGAAATTTAGCCTTAATTTTAGCACACAGTTGCTGAATAATATTTTATGTTATTTTGTATTTCAGGTCGATTACTAAAATCATTTCAGATTGATTTCAATTGGTATCATTTAGCAAGTTGGGTGAACATTACTGAACAATGGCCATTTAGAACATCATGGATTATTCTTTATTATGATATGTATGAGGATACATTCGATGACAATACCTCACTGAAAACTATGTATGACAAGTAAGTATGTTTATGCTTGTTGTTTCTTTCTTCCCAAAGCATGTGCACAACTTCGTAGCAGTATATTAGGATATATATAAGATAGTACAAATATTTCAATATATCACCTTTGAATTTTATCTTGAATCTCTTTTCCAAGTATCTGGATTCTGAAATTAATGTATAATGTTTAAAACCAAAATAATACAGAAAACAAAATGTGAATTGAACTTTAATTACAAACTATATGATGGCATAAAGTTTATTACAACATAAACATTCCATATACGATCATATAAGAAGGATTAATTGGAAGCATTTTTCTTGAGTTTTATGGCCTTTCTATTCTTCTTTCTTCTTATTTAGTTGAAATGTGGGTGCACAGAATTGTAGTAGTTTCATATCCTAAGCCCAGAAGTGTTCTCATGATTTTTAACCACTTTAACTTTATTGGAAACAAGCAACTAAGAAATTAGGATGTTGCCCACATGTAATTAAACACACATTACACCTTTTAAAATTATTCATACACTTCTTAGACTCAAGATGATTTATCATAAGCTAAACTCAGTTGCTTAATGTCTTGAGGCCATTATTTAATATTTTTGGGTGTGTTATGTTTTACCTTTTTTTCTGATTCTCTTTTGTTATATCTGTACTCAGAGTTCGTCCTCAGATCCCAGTACTAAAAGATGTGGAACCTCTGTTAGAACTTGATAGAGATGAACGAAAGTTTGATATTTTCCTGACGTACCATCGGAACAGCCTCTTAGTTAGTGACTTGAAGATTTTTTTACCATTTACCATCAACCTGGATCCATACATAAAGAAAGTTATAAAAGGTGAGATTATAATAAATTTTCATATTTATGTTTGAAACCAAAAGGTCTGTTAGTCCCACATTCCACACATCTTATGACAAGGTTGTTTTTGTATTTAATTGTGTTTAGTTGTACATTCCCACATGAACAAGGATCTGGAATATTGATTGCTGCACCTACCATGAGAATCCTGCTTTTGAACATTGTTCTCCTTATTCAGAGAATATGTGATAACTCAGCTTCTCCATAAAAGAATTTTCTTAACGTGTAATTCTTTCTTTTATCATACTTTGTAAACGCCATGCTCTTTCATAACCAGTTTTAGGCATGTTAGAAAATGGAAGTTCCAAAAATATGTCTTATTAGCTTTGCCATGTCTTACCATCCATCCACATATAATAATTCAAGAATGGCTGATTGAATTTATGTGGAATTTTTATGGTGAGTACTACTAAAACTTGTGTACATATTCCATTTTTGGTTAAACTAAACAACAATAACAGGCACTTTACATGAAGATTTCCTGTGCACTGAAATGTCTGGCAAACATTCCAGAATTGTTATGCAATTCATAAACTTCTAGTGTATAGATCTTAAGGTATGTGACACTAATTTGTGATGATTCTGCAGATGAAGTTTTGGAAACACTCACATCTTTGTAGAGGGTGAGTGAGTTTGTCTGAACTTCAAGGGAATGGGCTTTTAATCCTTTTAGATTCAGACTCCAGAAATCATACATATTCAAAATATTCTGTTGAATATTTTTAATTGGAATTTTTTATTTGAGTTATAATTGGTGAATAACAACATTTATCTAAGTGATCTTGGCACTATAAATGTTAGATATTTGTTTTGTGAAGTGTATAAAGCACAAGATGTTTCAGAAACATGATTAATTTATGGTCACAACATAATTATTTGCATTTTGATGTATTGTTTTTCAGAGCCTTAGTCATAAATGTTTGTTGGCTTTAGGACACTTCACATGCTTCTTGCAGTGTTCATACTGGAAATACAGTATAAATACAATAAATTCTTGCATTTTTTTGCCTATATTTTAAACTACGAGTTAAGTCTTCACCCCTCTCCCCCAACATGTTATGATGTGTAGCTACAGCTGTTATGTTTATTTGAGTGTGCTGTGTAGTGTAGTACCAGAGGCATAGGAAATGTTTTGATGCACATGAACAAGTAGGTGATATGAACCCTATGAAGAAAAAACAGAAATTTTGAAAGTGGGAGAAGGTGTGATCATTGTCACTGTCAAATAATTTAGAATTCTAAAACCACCTACACATTATTAGGCATGCTAAATACCTGTATTATTTGTAGACCTGAACATTTATTATCCCTGCTTACAAATCAGATTTGAATAGTGTTTGATTTTAGTATAAAAATTAAGTACAGAATGCGTTATGGTTCACATTAATGCCATTGGGTTGATTGAAATGGAACTTTATTCAATAGTTGTACTTTGTAAACCTCAATTTATGTAACAATTTGACTACATGATCCATTCTACAGTTAATACCTTATTTTACAGAAGATAAAGTTCCCTGCTTCTCACTTTGCTGTGGAAGGAGTAAATGTAAGATATGTCAGGTTCAAAAATGAATACAAAACAGTGAATCAAATTCCTTACTCTTCAAGAAATCAAGTCTGTAAATTATTCTCCTATAAGCGTGCACATTAATTTGCCTTAGGAAATTAAGTGAGTACTAGTACTGCCTGTTGAAATTCAACTGTGAATCAAAAATAGGTGTTCTGCAGTTTACTTTTAAAAATGTTTCAGCTGTTTGAAATAAAAATATTCATAACATTTATAGCTGCCAATGTTATTTGTGGTCTGTCTACTGTCATTTTTCTTTTATACTTGAAGTACGGATATATACATTAATTTAATATGTATAGTTAATAAGTTGTGAAAATTTGAATATAGCAGTTTACCATTACATGAGGGGTTCTGAAAATATCAGCCCTCATCTCTTAAACATGCCTGTCATGTTTTAAAAGCCAAAACAATTTAGTTTTCAGGGATGCACGCTGTTGCCTGTTAATCAATTGTTAGGTTGACAGTTTGTCTATACAACAGGTTTTATGATTATAGTCTCAATTTTTATTAAACATAATAAACTTTGAGACTATGATCATAAAATTTGTTGTGTCAGTGCACTGTCAACCTAACCCAAACAAATATTTCAAGTTCATTTTGGGGGAATTGTTTGCATGGAACTGAGATTTTTTTTAGCACATTTCAAAATTTCTGAGGTTTACATTTAAGAGTAATTTATGTGAAAACTTGTTATTGCTCAGCACCCAATGAAGTAGGATTTTGCAAGATTACAGTTTATATCAGGGGTGGGGAACCTTTTCATGTTGGAAGTCCGCATTAATTTAGCTGTAATCAAATAAGGCCGCATTCAAGAAACTTCAATTAGATACACTTAAAAATGTACATTATTTTGTAAAAATCTAACTTCTATGTACTTAATAATTTCAAAAAATGAAAACTATTTGTTAATTTTAAAGTTAACTAATCTTTTAATGACTTTGTTGTGTCTGCTTTTTGTTGGAAAGCATTTGAATGTTTGGTTGCAGCATGTATTAATAAAAATAAAAGGATTTGTTCTGTAAAATTTGGATTCAGTCAAAAGGCCGCACTTAGGGACCTAGAAGGTCGCATGTGGCCTTAAGGCTGCAGGTTTCCCACCCCTAGTTTATATCATGTACTGTTTACATTTTAATATGATATTTTGTATTAAAATATGGTTTTCATACTAAGTACATGGCATACCTAACTTATCATAAATGTTTTTACTAAGTTTTAGTACATCAGATTTGCAATTTTACTTTTTATACTTGTTGTTAATGGAGCATTAAGATATGTGTCCACCCGTTCATAGACTAACAGTGGGTCTTCATATTCCTAGGATTTCTGAGAGATTGTTGCCAGTTTTAAGCACTTTGTTATGTAAAAAAATATGTTTGACTGTACAGAGGAGCAGCAGAGTTCAGATGAAGCTGCAGGACTTATAATGAGCTCTCAGTTTGCAGCCTCGCCTCCTCCTGCTCCTGCAATGGTTCCACCTCCATCTCAGACATGGGGAACATCTAGTTCCTCAAGTCCTTGGTCTGGACACAAATCCTCACTTACAAGGAGACAGGTAACTTTATTATAATTTGTTTTTTAATACTGTCAACCTTTTATTGTTACACTGTGCTGTTTTTCTGAACTATTTTTTCTTTGACATGACAGTAGTATGGTGACAGTTTGTATAACATTGTATTTTTAATTACTTATTTTGAGCATCGGTTGCTAGTATCTCAAAATTTCATTTCATGTTGAGAAGTTTCAGTATTTTCAAAGCTTTCAAAGTAGCCCATGAATTTGGTTCTGTTTGGGAAATTAACAGTTAAGTTGTCCTCAAATTGATTGTGTTTATCAATGACAGTAGCGGTTATTTTGCTATGTAATCTAATATTTCATAAAACCTTGCATACCCTGCAGTGTATTTATATATAAAATTATGCATGCAAACAAAACTGTTTACACTTTGAAAAGAGACTTAGTACCAAACATGTTTCGACCCCAAGAGGTCATCATCAGTGACAAACAAATTAATTTGTATTACATCTTACAATTCATAAGACAATGGTTTGTTATAAAGCATAAAAGGTTGCACTTTATAAAACCATTCTTTATGTAATACCACACTGGACGTTAATTGCACAAGAGTTGGTGTGGTATCTGAATTGAGTTACTTAGCTCTATGTCCACTGGCCTAAGTTGAGGTTTCCGTTATTGGTCGTGATTGCATTGTCTGTGCCTGTGAACATCAACATTATGTGGGTAGTATTCACTGATGATGACCTCTTGAGGTCAAAACACATTTTGCACTAAGTATCTTTTCAAAGTGTAAACAGTTTTGTTTGTATGCATGATTTTATATACTAATATTTCAGAAACATTTTAGTTTTGAGCAACTCACCACAATCTTTTCTTAATGTTCCACCTGTGGAAATGTTTAAACATTGCATAAAATGCTCTTAAAGAATGCTAAATCTATGTTCTCTTAGTCATCCTCCCTTTCTTAGTAATTCTGAACAAAGTAAGTCATTATTCTTAAACCTACCAAAGACATGTTACATGTGCAAAAATTTACTCTCTTTAATTTTTTTCTTACCTTTCTCTTCATATAATTGTGCTGTGATGGGGCATTTACATAATAGTGAACAGACGACGCATATTCAGAACAGTAATCTTGAACATAAGCCTCAGCCCCTTGAAGACAACCTGCCATGAATCCAGCCCCATCTCAGAATTTGATACGGTAGTTTCATGTCTCTTTCAGCACTGCTGTAATATTTGTCTGTCTTATCTTTGAACAGCTGTACTATCTAATAGTTGGCTGTGAACATCCAATAGTTGTTCAACTTCTCAAATAATTTCCTCTTGAAGTAGAAATCAGAAGTTTATAAGTATTTCTCCTAAAATATGTCATTGGACCATTTTAATTCAGTTCACATTTTCATGCTCCTTGTTTGTAAGATCATAGTAATATTGATTTCTAGCCTTTTTTTGTGTGAAATTTGCCTTTATCTGTATATGTACTGCTCCCAACAAAGTATTACCTGAAGTCTGCACCATACCTCTTAAAGTAGAATATGATGCTACCCTATTTCTTTTCAAATAGACTGAAAAACGTCTACATAAAGGAGGGTATTTCATGTCTTGTATAGTGACAACATTGAAAATTACTACTCAATCCATATAAACCACCAACCAAAATAGTATAGTTCATGAAGGCAAATAGAATGTCACATCGGGAGAAACTCTTAAATGACATGTCTTATCTTTTGAAAAATATAAATAATGGGGTCACATCTATGGAAAGACGTATATAACAGGTCACTACCATTGACACACTTAAAACAACTGTTTGTAATTTATCTCCTGGTCCTACCATGCTTATACCCACCTCAACATCCTTTCTTTCTTGCATGCTAAGTAGGGTTATGTCAACCATAATTTGTATTGACTTAAGCCCTTCTTACAGGACATAAAAGAATGTTGTCAAACCTTGTTAAGAAAATGAAAATTGTAAAACTGTAGAAATTGTGTGATATAGCTATCTTGTGTCTGTTATTTTCAGTTAAATTTTATGTCTGTATTTTGTTCTTAGAGGCCTTTAAGCAGGAGCTCATCTGTACAAGGACCAAATATGCTTTATTCCCAACATTCAATGGTAGGTTGGCCTCAGGCCTGGATGAGTATGCAAGATCCAATGGGTGGTCTGACCAGACAACAATCAACCATCTATCCTCCTCTGTCTGCTGTCACCTGTCTGCCAGTAAGTTTTAAAAATGGAACAACTTTTTAAATGTGCATAAAATTCATCATCCAGTAGTACTGATCAAACTCTGTTGACATCTGACACACATAAATAATGAAAGCAGGGATGGCCTTTGAAAAGTGGCATCCTGTGTGAACAAAACTCATGCACCACTCCCCCCCCCCCCCCCCCACCCCACACACACACACACACGTAAGCAGCAACAGTTTATGTTATCTTTTGAAGCTTTCTTATACTCTTGATCATAGACAATAATAAAATGGATGATTATGAGAAATCCAAATATGAAGCCACCTCAGTCATCAGTCTTGATCAGCATTTGCAAAGGTATGTGATAAAATTTTTCTAATTGTGACAAATTCTATTTGAGATTGTTTTTAAAGAGCTATATATGAAATTTTAACCAAACCTGATAATACATAATGAATCAAAAATGGTATGAGAAAACCACAACTTCCATCTTTCCAATTTTGATGACAATTGCAGAAACTCCATGGATTTGTGAAAAAGATTCCGATTTAAAATTTTATGAAGACCATTTAGTGGGATTCAAGTTGTTACATGCAAGCAGACAGGGTGATGAAGATATTAGGCCATTTTTGTGCCTTTACACTAAATATTTTTATGCAGACACTCGGCATTACTGCATGTTCAGGGCGTCATCACTGAAACAGCTGAAAGCTCTTGCTAATGACTGGTTGTTGCAGCATTCACTAACACACAGTCAGCATTGAGTTCAACAGTGCATTTTCACAACTCCATATGCATGAAAGAATAGATGAAATCTTCATGCTAAGCATGTGTTTGTACAATGTGGGTCTGATGTCAGGAACAGACATGACAAAGAATATCATAAGGTTAAACACACATTGCATTACACTATATGTATTTTGCTTCATTTAATGAAGAAAGAAGGAAAGAAAGTATTATTAATTTTGTGTGGAAAACTGAAGTCCCTGTACCTCCCCCTTCAGTTTGTCTCCCAGAACAACTGTTAGTTTTGAATGGAAGCTTTTTATATTAGTTTTGGATTTTGTGTACCAAGTTCCGTGAAAGAAAACATTTTCTGATACATTATATGTGAATATAATTTAGTAAAGGTTAAATGATTATTTAGGAGATTAGCCAATCAATCTGTTGATGGCTGTCTTCTTGGTTGTTACGCCTGATGATGGAGGCAGCAAGGACCTCTGAAACGACTGTAAACATCTACCAGACTACATGGCACAATAACCCAGAAGACAGCCATCTTGAGGTTCACCGCAGTGAAAACCTCAAATCCTACATAACTAATCTGTTGATATTATGTTCTGTTACAAAAAACTAGTAACTTATTATTCTGTCTGTAATAATGTTGTTTGAAGTCTGAAAGAATAAATTACCCTGATACTTTTTCTTCTTGTCTTATCTTCTCTTTGGGAACTACGTAATTCTAATGAAGCTGGGAATTTTATTTGATTTTCCTTAGTCTTTTCAGGTAGGTGTCATGATGACACTTGTGTTAAGAGAGAATGACCTGCTTTCTTCCCAATCATTTGCTTATGTTATAAACATATAAGATAGAGAAATAAAGTCATCAGAAAGAGGATTGAGAAACCTTGCTTAAACAATAAGAAATATATGGTAGCCTTAAAAACTGTATATTTATGTGTTTAGTACTTTTATGGTATACATAGATTGTACATTCTTAAGGGAATCATATGTAGGATTGTTAAAAATATTTATTATTTATCTAGCACACTTTATAGTCTTCCATTTAACAAATTCAAAAAGTTTGAATTCCATTTACAGACTTATATAATTTTATTATTATCTCACATTGTTATAATAATGATATGTTGTTTGCAGCCCGATGTTCTAGAAACAAAACTGTCAACCCTGAATGTAGATGGTGTCTCTAATCTGCTTACTAAAGTTGATGATATGAGTTCATCCTTCTTACCAAGCTACACAAGTGTTATACACGAGAACAATATCAATGGTCGAGTATTACTACACTGTGACTTGGATGAACTGAAGAAGGTATGTATAACTGTTAATTTAATTAATAACATTAAAATTAATTTAGGTAACTGTAAATAGTGTTTTATAACCCCCATTTCAAATTAAATTTTTCCATGTCTTCTAGAATGTCCTGTGAAATACTGGTACAGTTAACTTTTTAAAATAAACAAGATCCAACTGAATGTAATTGTAATGTATGCAAGTTGGTGAAATCCTTAGATCATACATATTTTTGCAGTATTTTTTTATAATTTCCTACAGAAAAGAGACTGAAACCTTGCACTAGTGGAGGAAATGATCTCTCTTCATACGTCTTACATACCAATAGTTTATTTAAACAAAAAAGTGGAACACAGCTTCTTACTTTATTTTTGAAAATATAAGAATCTGTTCACAAAGTAAGAGAAACTTTACCCAACTTTTTCTTTGTTGCCTGGTACACATTGCAGTGACAGTCATTTCTGTCCAAAATATCCATGTACTTGCAGTTGATAAGAAGGCATTCAGGCTGGCGAACTCTGAATTAGGAACCACTTATAGTTATACTCTTTATAGTTTTCAGTAACATCCAATTGCCATAAAAATAAATTAATTTAATTAAATTTATATAACAGCATGATCATTTTTTTTCTTCTCTCCCCCATCAGTCTTTCGACTGGTTTGATGTGGTCCTCCATTTTTGCCTATCTTGTGCCAATCTCTTCATTTCCACATATTTTTGCAACCCACATCCTCAAAAATCTGCGTCACATATTCCAATCTTTGTCTTCCCCTACAATTCTTCCCTTCAACTGTTCCTTCCATTATGAAATTAACCAATCCTAGGTGCCTCAGAATGTGTCCCACCATCCTATCTCTTCTTCTCTTAAGATTTTTCCATAGGCTTCTTCCTTCACCTATCCTGTCTAAGACCAGCTCATTTCATACTTTATCAGTCCACTTAATTTTCAACATCATTCTATAGCACCACATTTCAAATGCTTCTATCCTCCTTCTTTCTGGCTTTCCCACTCGTCTGTCTTTATACTTCAGCCCTACCTTCCTCAAGATTTCAAACATCTTATTCTGTTTTACGTTGTCAAAAGCCTTCTCCAAGTCTACAAATGCCATAATTGTATCTTTATTTTTCTTAATCCGTCCTTCTATTATTAAACGTAAGGTCAGAATCGCCTCTCGAGTACCCATACTTTTTCTAAAACCAAACTTATCCTCATCTAGAGCCTCTTCAACTTTCCTTTCTATTCTTCTGTATATTATTCTAGTTAATAATTTTGATGCATGAGATATCAAGCTAATTGTGCGGTACTTATCACATTTGTCCGCTCTCGCTTTCTTGGGAAGTGCAAAGATAATGCTGTTTTGGAAGGCTGATGGTATTTCTCCAGACTCATAGATTTTGGACACCAGACTGAATAACCTTCTAGTTCATTCATCCCCCATAGATTGCAATAATTCTGAAGGTATCTCTTCTACTCCCACTGCCTTGTTTGAGCCTAAGACTTTCAGATCTCTGTCAAATTCAGATTGTAGTACTGGATCCCCTATTTCCTCCATATCAACCTCCTTTACTTCCTCAGTCACACTGTTGGACAATGTTTCCCCCTGATACAGGCCTTCAATGTATTCTTTCCATCTATCTGCTCTTTCTTCTGTGCTTAACAGTGGTTTTCCATCTGCACACACACTTATTTTTCATTTCTCCAAAATTCTGTTTGATCTTCCTGTATGCTACATCAATTTTACCTTAAATCATTTCTTTTTCAACTTCTTCACACTTCTCTCAGCCATTTTTCTTTTGCTGCTTTGCACTTTCTGTTGATTTCATTTCTAAGTAATCTGTACTGCTTTCTTCCTTCTTTATCTCGTGAAGTTTTGTATTTTCTTCTTTCATTCATACATTTTAGTATTTCTTCAGTTACCCATGGTGTTTTTCCTCCTCCTTTCTTTCTACCTATAATTTATTCCCCAGCCCTAACTATTTCCTTCTTTGGTATGCTCCATTATTCTTCCGTCAAATTACTTTCAGTATTTTTGTTTAACCCTGAGCCAACAGCCTCTGAGAACTTCAACTTCAACTTTTAATCTGTCGATGTCCCATCTGTTTGTACAATGTTTTTATTTACTCTTTTGAATTTCAGCCTACACTTTATCATCACTAAATTATGATCTGAATCAATGTCTGCCCCTGGGCATGCTCTGCAATCCAAAATTTGATTTCCGAATCTCTGTCTAACATAATATAATCCAGCTGGTACCTTCCTGTATTCCCCAGTCTTATCCATGTGTATCTTCTTCTCTTGTGGTTTTTAAAAAGAGTGTTTGCTACAACTAGTCGATGTTTTTCGCAAAATTCCAAAAGCCTACTTTCTCTTCATTCGTTTCTCCTAGACCATATTCTCCGGTAATATTGCCTTCTTTTCCTTCTCCTACTATGGCATTCCAGTCTCCCATGATTATCAAATTTTCATTTCCTTTTACATACTTAATTAGTTCTTCGATTTCCTCATATATTTTCTCTATTTCATCTTATTCAGCTTATGAGGTGGGCATGTAAACCTGTAAGATGGTTGTTGTTTTTGGTTTCATTTCAATTCTGATAACATTTGAAAGCAATTAGGCTCACAAATTCTTGCTCATTAGTACACAGCAAACAGCAGAGTAAACTATTGTTGTTTTATAGGTTCTTCAAATGAATTTTGGCGACTGGGAGTTATTCCGCATGCTCGTCGTGTCTCTGAGAGAACAGGAGCTTGCAGTTGTCACCCACCAGGAAGAATTAGGTTCAAAAAATGTCCGGTTTGCTGACCCTTCTCGTCAAGTTACATTGCAAGCACCAGAAAGGAAGGGTAAACAATTAATTGAAGTAATTTAGGATTTCAGGCTCTTATGGTGGCAAGCATGAAGATGGCTGTCTTCTGGGTTATAGTGCCATGTAATCTGGTAGAAGTTTACTTTCATTTCAGAGATGCTTACTGCCTCTCCAGACTACATGGTGCTACAACCCAGAAAACAGCCATCCTCTCTAACAATAGTTATTCTCATCATTATGGATTGGGCTGTTTAGATATTCTAGGTTCAAATTTAATGAAGACATTATTTTAAATTATAAATACAGAAATACTTCATTTCTTTGATTTTTAGACATTGTTGATTGTAAGAAATACAATTCATTAAATTAGTTTTAGGTTTTCAGGAAGAAAGATGTTATATTGTTTCTTAGATGCCATCAAATGTAAGATGTACCCTAATTTCAGAAATTTTAAAATGTGAGAAAAAGTGTCTTAAGAGTCAAGGAAATACCATATTTAAAATTACTGTAGGTCGCATAACTCATCTTCAGTTTCTTCTTCCATAGAATTTTCCTTTTTTAACAAAGCGCCAGAAATATCACATTATAAACAAAATATTTTAGACATCTCCTTTATTGAAGCTTACATTATGATTTAATTTTGATGAGATAGAATTTTAAATATGGCTTTCTGAAAATAAATGGTCTTTGTTTGAAATCTGTTTTACATTTTCAGCATCTCTACCAACCTATTTAAATTAAATTTACATTTTGTTCTTTTCCTTGTTCAAAGGTGTATTTTTGGTATACAAGTGATTTTAAAATTTGTATTGCTTTAAGCTTGAAGAATTAATTTACCTCCCTGTTTGAAATTGTATTCTGAACTTATTACATAACTTTAATACGTTGTTTGCATGAATATATTTCCTGAACTTTAATTTGATAATCAGCCCAATACACTTTGCTTACAATATTCACACGTCAGGCAGCAAATTAGCTTTTGGACACTCTCTCTCTCTGTGCACAGTTATACACAGATATACCTTCTAAGGTAAAAATAAGTATATGAATAAATAACAGGAACATATTAGCTCTATCCTGTCCCATTTAAATATTCTGCATTTATCTTCACTCCAAAAATGTGTAATAAGATTGTCTCCAGCTACAAGCTGACAGTCACAGACTGAATCTCCAACCACATCAGTACCCTAAGGATGAGGACAAAGATGGTTCTCAAAGCATTAGTTTTTTGTTATTTTTTTTCACCTTTTAACCACCTGACACATCTGGTAGCCCGAGAGAATTTTATTGTATCAAGTCACTGTGAAAACTGCAGTTCATAGATCCAAAAATGTAATTGAAAAATTTAGTAGATTTGTAAAATGTAGTACAATTCTGAAAGCAGTAATTAAGAAGATACATTGAGTATGACTGGTAATTTTAGCACTGTTCAGTTTGATCTACTAACATCATTAATAAACCATAAATGAATGAAGCATGAACAACTAGTAGATGAACATGGTTTCATAAAAACAAAAAAGATGGGATAAATATAAGAACAGAGAAGTCAGCAAATAATATTTACACTTATATGTATTTTAACATTAGATGGAAAGGGAATAAGACTTTTACATTGTGATAAACTTGTTTTGGTCCATTTGCAAGTATTAGCATAAAGTGTGCATTGATATTAAATTAGGATCATAATGTTTAAGGTTCAAATCCATATTGGAAACTACCATAATTTCTGGAAGAATATTAAAAGCATAAGTTTTCTGTGAAATGTTAATAATTGGTTAAACATTCAGTGGGTACTGATGCTATAATGATTTTCTCACTATTGTGACGTAGGTTGGTTCTTATGCCCTTTATTGTCAACCCTTGCTGTTTGGAGTCTGCTGCCTTGAATACGATCTGACAAACACTTTTACACGGGAATCCACACATTAATCACAAGCTCAACGCTTCTCGGTCTTCCTGTCGCCGTGCCCTCCAGCTTACTCTCTCGATGCTACTTCACCACACCCAGGAATGCGACTTTGTTTATATCCCCCTCCCAAGATGTTGAAAGTTCCAGACCAAGCAGCCTGGAAGTCAGGTGGCACCTCCCCTCCAGCGCAAGGCCCCAGCACCCACGGCGACGCGTCACACTATGTTGTTCAAAACTGTAATCATTTCCTAATAGTGATAGGAAGTAAATTTGTTTCTGTGTTTGATGCTTCTGAGAATATATGAATTTTGGAGCTATAAGATTTGTGGCCAGTCTCTTTTTTGTTTTAGAATTGACTTGAGATTATATATATCCCCTGAGACCTTGTGTGCCGAGGAATAAGTAGAGCTTTTGTAGGTTATGGTCTTCTGGGTTGAAAAAAAGACAAAGGATCACAAACAGTCTGGCCAGTCAGAACCACTTACTCATTTCCATTCTTTTAATAGAGGCAGCGTTTTTCTCTGAAACTGATAACAATCTGCAAGACTACATGGTATCACAACCCAGAAGGCTACAGCCTGAAGTCTTAATGTTGTGTAAACCTTAAGTCTCATACTGGGAACGATCCGTTCTTCAAGTGCCTGAGCACTGCGGATCCCAACTTTTCGTTGGCTTGATCTATAGACATTTGGTAGGACTCCTTGGACGAGGGATCAGCCCATCACAAGGCCTCTACCTGTACACAGGACAGCACAACACAGAAAAACATGGCTTGAGTGGGATTCGAACCCACAGTCCCAGCGACCAAGCGGCACAAGGCCAACGCCTCAGACCGTGTGGCCACTGCATACCCCTTAAGTCTCATACAAAATATAAAGTACTAAGTTACTGAAGGATAGGTAACAGAATGTCTGTACAGTTGTATCAGAGGATTGAATTTTTTTTAGAGAGATTGCCAATCAAAGTGAGGCTTATAGATGTGGGAGTTTGAGAATATTGTTGAAGTTCACTGTGTTAGGGGATGGTATAAGAAGAGGGATGTGATAGTCTAATACTCTTTCTCAATTTTGAGAAATCTCATACTATAAAATGTTAATATTTAGAAATTATACATAATTGCCTATTTGGACAAAACAGAAATAATGGAAATATGACAAGGGAAGGTTCTTCATATAACTTTTGTCCACATATAAAGCATATATTGAGGCATGAGGGAGTTTAATAATTAGTGTTTAAATGATATTTTATTGTTCATTGCAGTGTTTCTAAATACAATATTCTAATGGGAATGTGTTTTGTTAACAGGTATCAATCCAAAAACTAGTGGACAGCTTGAAAAGGAAAAGTCATCATCTCGTGGTGATGCTAGATCAACCAACAAGCAAACAATAATGGAGAAACAGGTAAACATTTCCTCACAGTGTTGTGTTCTACTATAATTTTTTCCAAGTTAAGAGTGTGGTTTTTAATCAATCTGACGTCAAATTAAATCAGATACAGAGGTCTGCACATACAGTCAACTCTCTACAACAACAACACACTCGAGAGTCTGTGCGCACACACACACACACACACATTCTCTCGCACTGTCCTTCGAGTCTATCTGGTCCCCGAGCTCTGCTCTTCACACTCTTCTCCTACAAGTCGGCCCTTAACACCCCACTGGACACACGCTGGCCCCTCGGCCGCCCCGGTCCACGTACCCGGTGCTTGCTCATGCAGCCGACCCGTCCTTACTTGGCGTCGGCTCGTAGCACCCCACTGGACACTTGCTGGCTCCTCGGCCGCCACGGTCCACGTACCCGGTGCCTGCTCACGCAGCCGACCCGTCCCTACTC